AAGGGTTACCAGCTCCCTGAAATAACTAAGTAGCTAAAAACACCATAGAGCTGGTGTTTTTAGCTAAAAAGTGCTTCTGCATCGATCGCAGGAGCTATAACCCACTGAGAAATTTGCATTCGCCAAATATTGTTACCGCTTATTTGTTTTTACATTTAGTAAACGAACGAATAGCTTTTCGACTAAAGCACATTCTTCGTAAACCGTTTTTGGCTCCCTAAATCTTGCCACTACGTCCTCGCTAATGGTCACACCAACTACACCAAACAATGAATCATGCATACAGGTCAACGTAATGCTTCAAAGAATAAAATCACGCGGCCTGCAGCCACGTGGTTCCATCTGTTTCTCGGTGTTTGAAACCCCTGGTGAAACACTCACATTCGTTTTTGATATATTACATGAAAAACTATAAATTTTTAACGCAAGATTTTTTCCTGTCGCCATCTCTACTGACTCAACGGATAGCGATCCTTGAGCTAAGGGGAGGGGGCGTTTCTGTTTGTGTGTCCCCCCCCCCCATACTTTCTCTAGATCCGCCACTGTGATAGTTCCGGGTTCAGTCAAAAGAGAATCGAAAGAGGAGAGGAATAAAGCTTTCCTTTCGAACCAGAACATATTTACCTTGAATTCATGTGCTTGGCAAAAAAGGACACTATCAGGTCTACACAATTTTATTAGGATTATGCCAATCTGTAAGGTTAAGCGTTCTATCAGAGGAAGTGGGCCTCAGTAATTTTTTGTAGATTATCACTGCTATTGTTGAAACGAAATATTAACTTAGCGTTTTTGCAGTTTTGCTCTCCTTAGCCTGAATAACTTTCGAGTAGCCTAGTTAACCCTTCATCTGCCAAGATCTGTTCCCGTTTGTTCAAAAGGTGGATAACATTATCCCACGGATAAATCGCTATCCCACGGATAAGTGATAGAAAAACGTATCGCGTTCTCCACCGGATAATGTTTTATCCAGTGGATGGCGCTATCCAACCTTCGAATAACCGGGGCCTGATTGTTAATTCTCCATTCTAGCTGCTACACATTTCCTTGCAAATAAGTTACGAGAATTTTGAGCTAGATCAAGATACCAATTTCTAGCTGATAAGCTTGAGTACTCTGATCACCTGTTTGATGGAGAATGGAATGATATTATAGGGAGAAGTTACACGTTGATCACTTCTGAGAGTTAAAGGGTTCAATATGAAAAGTCAGTCCACACATTCACAGAAACCACTTTAAGTTTGACCTTCTTTCCGGGAATGAATGATAATTCCAAAAATATTGCTTTGAAAATTATCCTGCAAGACAACTGCCAACTTATTAGAGTCACCAAAGAGTCAGCTTATTGAGTTTTCATTTGAGCGGGCGAAGTCATGCGGCGCGCGAGAGAGGCGACACGACACGACTTAAGAAATGCAAAGAAAAAAACCTCACGCCTACAGGCTATTCGAAGATTAAAGCAGTTGACCGAATTCTTGGATGCATATAACATTTAATTATTTCCCTTTAGGTGAATGCACTTTTCAGAGACGAATGTCAGACCGGGCGTTATAGCGGAACTTG